GGATAATCCACAAAAGCTCCCAATCCAAACCACTGTAGGATCAAATTCCTAAATGCCCATTTCCAGTAAGTCCAAATGTTCATGTCTGTGTTTCCAAAAATGGACTGAGGTGGAGCTAGACATGGTCCCAGGTCAAAGGAAATATTTAAAACAGAGATGCTTCACATTTCCTGTGGGAGGCTGGGCCTCACCAAGTCTCCTGGTCCAGCCTCAAATCAAGGCTATGGCAGAGTGTAGCCCCTGCCCAAGCCGCACCATGCAGAAGAGCTTGACCAGCTGCATGGGGCATTTTAGCCAGCAGCCAGGCAGGGGCATCAGGCTAAAATGTCAGGCATTCTCCAACCCTCCCAGATGGTGAGTTCTCAGCCAGGAGAACCACATTCCAGAAGATACATGAGATCCCATCCTTTTGCCATATCCTGAACTTGTGACTCTCTGTTGAGGCTAGTCAGGGAAGGGAACCAGAACTAGAGTTGGGGTTCCTCTGGGAGACTTTTAACATCAGACAGCCAAATACTTGAGTCAGAATTGTTTTGTATTAAGTGGGAAAAAACCTGCCTAGCCATTTGGAGTGGATAGTGAAGCCCTGGACACAGGAGAAAAGGCACAGGAACAAGTAGAACCTGGGATGAGATGGAAGAGAGAGGATGAGGAAGAGAGAGGATGAGAGATGTGGCCAGAGACTATGGAGAAAGGAGTTGGGAGGAATTTCAAGAACAAGGATGGCTGAGTTTTAAGCTAGTAAAATGTAGTATTACATTTCATGTTGCTTGCATTGCTGTGATGTAAACTGTAGTTCCCAGAGCTACCAGACAAAAGGGCTCTGTGGGGGGGGGGGGTGTGCATCCAGCTGACGCAGTAGGTTGGGTTGGTTTGAGTGTGGAGGGCAGGGAACAGAAGACAGAGATGTGAGATTATGGGACCCCGGGAACAGGAAGGGAGCAATGACCTCAGCCAACTGCATCTGTATGTCACAGCAAAGTGACCTCCACTGCCATCTGTGTCTCGGTTGCATGGGCACTCTGGAATCCAAAAGCAACACTCCCTGACAGACGTGCAGTTTCCATCTTGATTGGAGAGACTTAGATGACTGGGACCACGTCTGTGTACTTTTTTTCATAGACTTTTTTTTCTCAGTTCTTGCTCCAGCCAGACTCTAACCTCCTCCATCCCCACTCATCATGCTCACTTAGGTAATCTTGACCACCATTGTAAGTGGAACATACACCTATCAGCTTTCAAGCAAGGCCTTCTCAAGTCTATACTCTCCTGTCCTTCCCACCTTGCTCCTCTCTGCCCCTCACCATGGCCCTATGCTTCCAGCCACAGGCCTTCTCATATAGGCTTCAGGTGCCCTGCTACCTCCATACTCTTATAAGCTGTTCCCCTTAGTCCAAAGGACTAAGACAAGGATCTTGTCTCTCTTTTATCTGAGTCCTTTTCACCACCGAAGGCCCAGACTGTGTCCCTTCCTGTAAAATCTCACTCTAGCCACTTGACACCACAAGTATTTACCAAACTCTGACTATTTACAAAGAACCAGAATAGATGCTGCAGGCCCAAGTAGAATTTCCCTTGGTCCTCATCCTGCAGCTCCATCTACCTCTCTACACAGCCCTTTCTAGCTTCCAGGGCTACAAGTGATACTTCCAAGTGTACTCACTTCACACTGCTGTTGAGCCCTCCTGATCAGTCAGATTAGGGTCCTTGCTAGACCCATGCTCCTACTCCCCAACCTGGGGCATGACACAGATCTAGGTAGAGACCCCCATCTGCAACCTCCTGGCTCACTGGGGGATATTGATTCTTATGGTCAGGGCTGGACTGGAGAAGCCATTCCCACACCCTTGGCAGCCTTGCCAGCTCATTTGTGTTTTATTCCCTCTTTCTGAAATGCCTTTCTTAGGATAGGGATTCACTTTCATGCCACCTTATAACAGTGACACCCAGGCCTCCCTGAGAGGATGTTTTGACAAGTGAGGAACGAGAAGTGGAGGAATTGGAGGACACTGGATACATGGAAAGAGGGACAGTGAAGACCCAACACAAAAGGAGAAAAGGATCCTTTTGGTTTATAAAGCTAGCTGGGGAACCCCAGGAACCAGCCAGCCACCTTCCCTTTGTTAGTGGCATCTCCCTTGGATTGCTCCGGAGAGGATGCATGGCAAAGAGGATGGGTATTTCATGTATTCCCTTTACCGTGCCCATATCATTGGAGGGAAAGACTTCCACAAGCGAGTCACACGCAATGTGATCAGTACAAGAAGGCAGGTACCCTGTTCTGTGGAAATGGACAAAACAGCACATTACACTTCCCTCAACACTGCTGTATTGATGCCGCGGCTCACATGTAGGGCAAGCACGTGTCACAGGCCCGGGCACCTGTGAAGCGCCCTGTGAGGCCTAGCCCAGGGACTCACCTCTCTATAGCTTCCCCAACCACTCCTGGAGGAGCCAAGCCATTAACTCCAGAAACCACAACCTGGAGCCCCAGTGGGCCTCAAGGGGAGTTTCCTACCCACCCCAAGGCCACAGGACCATGTGGATCAATTAAAATGTCTACACCAAGAACATTGGTCAAGAACCAGCTTCCCCATCAAAAAGCTCAACTCTGAACCACTCAGCTCCCCTTTCTAGGCCTTAGTTTCCCTATGAAAACATTAGATTGTATCAGTTCTTGGCTGTGGAACTTTCAACTTGGACAGAATCTTATCCAGAAACTAAATGGACAGGACAACCATAAATGGAGCTCCTTCGAAAGATGGTGGCATGGTGGGCCTAGAACCTGCTGGGCAAGTTCCTATCCACAAAGGAACAGAAAAACAGTGCACTAGACCATCTAAGGCACCTTGGCTTCTCTGAAATTTTGTGATTCTGCTAAAATATGCTAAGTTTTGCTGTGTGTACAATGGTCCACATGAGACCTCAAGTATGGAGAGAGCATTTTAAGCTCATGGCTGCCTCACATACACAATTTTCCCAACACTCCTTCTCCCAACAGCCCTATGATGGCTTATGAGAAAACCATGGCCTTGGATCCAATGAGATTTGGCCAAAGTTACATGGAACTAAATGTAAGGCTGGACCTAGACCCAGGTTTCTTGGTCCTGAGCATTTATTCTTCCACATCAAAGGACAGGTGATATGAATTCTTGGGAAATACAAATTTGGCATCACTGTTCACAAAAGCAAGAGAGGAGCTAAAGAAAGTTGGCAGGAGTTTATCAGGAAATCCCTGGTTGACGCATGATCTGTTGTCAGTGGCCCGTTACCACTTAAAATACTTATAATCAGATGTGCCTTCTCCCCAGAGCAGTGAACAACCCTAGGTTGCAGAACTTAGTCAGCCAAGACTAACATCCCAGGACCCCAAGATGATACTCACTTGCTGGTAAGATGGAGCTTAGGAGACAGCCCATTCTCTCCAAAAATTGTGATGAAGACATTGGCATCTGTCCCTGCACCACGAACATCCCCGGTGGCTGTGACCACCTCGTACACTGGGGGGACAAAGAAGAAAACAGATTGCAGGCTCTGAAGAGAACTCAGAATCCTGCATGGGCTTGAAAAAACCAGAGCTCCTGCCAGTCCCACAGAGGATGCCCATGCACAAAGGACACTGGAATTCTACTACCTCTCCCAAGCCTCTGAGCCAGGGTCAAACCCACAACAGTCCCTGCTGCAAGACTAAAACCTCACCTTTAGCACCACACACTTCTTTTGCAGATGAGGAATCAATGCTGGGGAACAAGCCACTTTGTTATGAAGCAGCCAGTGCAGGGAACCTAGCACACTGTGTGCAGCAAAGGAGGCTGAGCAAAAGAAAATAACTCCACACTGGGAAGGTGGAATCCACAGATGGGGAGCCAGCAAAACACAGGGAGGATGTGTGAGATATTGAGGGCATATGAAAGATGTCCATCACATTATGGAAAATATTAATATTAATGCTTAGTAAGTGTAGTCATAAACAATACTTACTGATTGCAAACTATGTGTCTGGCCCTGAGCTAGGGGCTTTACATACATTATTCAGGCATTGAGCCAAACTATTGATTATCGAGGCAAACTTATTACCATTCCTGTTTCCAATCTTTTCAGACCAGGTCCCCAAACTTGCAGCGTATATTAAAGCTCCCCAACAAGGCCCAGTTGATTGGAAGTGTATCTTAGGTTTAGATATTTATTATTCAAGTCTATCAATTCAGAGGCCATTGGATAAAGGCAGTCTATCCCAGATGAAAATGGCAAAACTGCATGATGGGGAATGAGAGACACAAACACCTAACACCTATATGCTACGCCTGTGGTAAGTGCATTAAAGGTACTGCTCACCCTACAGCAGGCCCATTCACTGATGTGGGCTAGGGCAAAGTGCTGTACTTCCACGCTGCAGTGATCTGTGGGCAGCCAGTGGCTGGTTCGTCCAGTTAGGAGCAAGGTGAACGGACAAATACCAACTTCCCTGTGACACTGTACAGTAACCCTGGTTGCAGAGCTGTACTGGGGATTAAAGATGATGTATGTAAAGGCTATGGCACATAGAAGCTACTTAAGGAATAGCCTTTCTTGTTTTAAATTATTGCTGTTTATGCATTTCAGCTCCAGGAGCTAACAGCTCATTCCTTTGGTAGCTCAACAATATACATGTGATTCACATATATTTCAGAACCCCTTCAGGAGACCTCTGATGCTACCATGGTCCTCCCCTGCTTATGGTGACAAGGAGCAGCAGTGTTTGAGGGTGAGTGTACCTTTTATGTCCCTGGTTCTGATGACATGGGGCACTGTGAGTGGGGGTAAGGGAAGCAGTTCCTGTATGTGATTCCCATGACAACCAGAGCCTTGATTTTTCATAGTCTATTCCACAGAGACCTTGATCTGCAAACAACCCGCAGAGCCCTCCCTCTGCCTGTTAGGCACAGCTCTGGGGCCTGAGTGTTGCCCGCATGGCTTGCAAGGGCATTTCCAAACCAAGTGTCCACAAGTAATGACCAGCCCGGTGGAAACTCTAGAACCACATCACATGTGAGAAGATACAGATGCCTGGGGATGGTTGATTTGCATGAAAAGAGAGTTTGTGTTATAGGAGAGGGATCAGAAAACTACCTCAATAGCTAATTCAGAGGAACACAGATGCTTAAATAACACACCAGCCATAAAGAAATTGACCCACTGTACTTAATTGTAATTAGAATGTCTAAAGAACAAAAAAGTGAGTCACTGACTATGATATTTTGAATGTGTATAGCCAACAAAGGACTCATACCCAGAAGATATAAAGAATTCACACACACAAAAAAAGATAGATCATGTAATTTTCAAACAGGTTTACATTTTTAAAAAGATAAGCACACACTTATTATAATATCCAAAAATTCCACTTTAAATTATTGACCCAAGGAAAATGAAAACATGTCCACACAAAGCCTTATGAACACAATGTTCATAATAGCTTTATTTCTAATAGACCCAAACTGGGTACAAGCTAAATGCCTATCAACAGGTGAATGGATAAACAAACCATGATAGATCCATACAATGAACCGCTGCTCAGCAAAAAAAGGTATGAACTACTGACACGTGCAACATGGATGAATCTCAAGCGCATGATGCTGAGCAAAAGTCAAACACAGAACACCACATTTTTATAATGTAATTTACATTAAACTCTATTTTAAAAAATAAAACTTGTAAGAGAAAGTAGAAGAGTGGTTGCCTGGGGTTGAGAGTAGGAGAATTTTCTGGGAAGTGACCCAAGGAGCCTTTGGTTTCCCTAATGTGAATGTTCTGTATATTGATTTGCTAGTGGTCATATGGTATAACACTAATCAAACAAGACATTTAAAATAGATGCACTTTACTGTAAGTAAATTATACTTCCATAAAGTTGGAAAGTGGACAAAAGATTTAAACAGATATGTCACCAAAGGCATATCCAAAGGCAAAAAAAAAACAAAAAAAACATAGGGAAAAGTGCTTGGTGTCCCTATTCTTCAGGGAAATACAAATTATAATTACAATAAGATGGCACCATATACCCACCAGAATGACTGAAATTAAGAAGACTGACTATACCAAGTATGGACAAGAATGTGGAGCTACTGTCACTCTCATATGTGATGGTGGATGCATAAATGGATAAGCACTGGTAGATAGACATATGCTCACCCTGTAGCCCAGCAGTCCTACTTTCAATTATAAATCCAACAGAAATGAGTGCATGTGCCCATCGAAAGATGTGTAGCAGTTTTACTCATAATAGCAAAAAAAAAATTCAAAATTATTTCAAGTGCCTGTCAACAAGAGAATGGTTAAATAAATGGTGATATATTTATAAAATGCAAGGCAACAGTAAAAAAGAACAAACTAATGTGTCACAACATGAATGAATCTCTCAGATGTAATGTTGAGTGAACAAGAGGATAGACACGGAACTATATACTGATTCTTATGAAGTTCAAGAACAGAAAAAATTCATCTATGATAACAGATTTGGGAGAGAAAGGTGTGAAAAGGAGCTTTGTGGGAGCTGGAAATATTCTGTATCCTGAGTGGAATCGTGGTTACACAAAGATTTCACACTTAAAAATTCATCACTTTGTACCTTTATGAGTTTTGCATTATATATACATTTTTCTCAATTTTAAAATTTTAATTAAAAAATTACCTTGTGGGAATCAGATATCTTGTAGAAAACACAGGATTCTATTTGACTCCAGTAAGGAGGACACTAATTCAGTCCCCTGTTCAGCACAAAGAATTATCAAAGGCAACATAATGTTACTGCTAGCGTAGAGCCTTTGCTCAACAAATACTTACCTGGATGAATGAACACCTGGGGTGAATCAATGAATGAATGAAGTAATCAGTGAAATGAATAAGGATAATGAAACTGGATAAGGATGTGAATCCCAATTCTATCATTAATGGTTATGTGATTTCAACTGAATCTCTTACTAAGCTTCAGTCTTCTCATCTGTGAAGTGAGAATAATTTCTTCCTTGAAGGATTGTGTTAAGGACTAAATTAAATAAAACGAAGTTTTCAATGCTTATACTCATCAACCTGGCATTTCCACTTTGGGCAATTTATCTTTCTAATACTCTTCCATAGCTGCATGAAAAGGTACACATTCCGTAAGTGATTACCATCACTATCCATCACATCGCCATCATCACTGTAATCACCACCACCACCACCATCATCATCGTGGTCGTTGTCATCATCATCATCACATCATTGCTATTATTTCCATTAACAACATCCCAAGGAGGCTGCCTTGGGAAATTGTATCCCTAGTTGGGATGCAGGAGAGATGTTCCCAGGGCTGGACGCCTGTGCAGATGACCTCTGAGGTCCTTCAACTCTCAGGTTCTGGCCTGAGTCAACATCTTCCCAACATAGACCTGCCTCAGTCAAAGGCAGACCCATGAACCAGGCTCAACTGCCCTCCCTCTGGCTGTCAGTGAACTTGGGTATAGCAAGAAAGTGGCCTGAGGAATGAATAAACACCTGGGCCTATCTCCATGCCTTTCTTCCTCCTCATTGTTCTCCAAGATTCTCCATGAAATCCTACAGTAGATCCCAAAGTTCAAAGGGAGTGGAGATTATCCTTCTTGAACTAAGATGGTTAACAATTATAGTGCATTTGGAGCTCAGCTTGTAGTTACCGTTAGCATCAAACATATTTTTCCCCAGGGCCCTGAAGCAGGCTAGAGATTCCATGAGTCTCTTAGAAATGTCACTGTGGCACCCCCCAGCTTGATCTTCTCCAACTGATTTTACTATAGACAAGATTAGCTGGTACAAGAGCAAAGACCAGCTAAACTGCCTAGATGTAAATCCTAACTCTGCTACTAGTAGCTGTTCGATCTTAAGCAAGTTACTTAACCTCTCTGTGTCTAAAGATCCTAACCTTAGTAATCTAACCTGCCTCGCTGCATTGTTGTGAAGATGAAATTGCTTAATATGAGTAAAAGGCTTAGCACAGTGTCTGGTGTACAGTACATTATTCTGTTCACCAGCACTATGAGATCAGATGAAGAACATGCCTTGGGAAAGGATATTTGAAGTTCTTGTCCTCTATCCCACTTGTGACCTTGCACAAGTCCTTAATTTCTGAGCCTTGGTCCTTAACCTGTGAAATGGGACTAATCACACCTGCCTTGACTTCTCTGATCTTGAGGGTCAGATGTGAGGATGGTCATGAAAGGGCTTCAAAAAGGACCAAAAGAAGGAGGACCATCATCATCTCACTAAAACATGCAGAGCCCATGAAGAGGTGGACAGGAAGGCTGTCTGAGAGGGTCTAGAATATTCTCACCAGCAGCCACATGAGCTGGGGAACCTCAGTCTGGGAACTGAGGGTGCCTTTCCATGATGTTAAGCCCAGCCAATCAGAGCCTGGAGGGTGTGTGCCAGGGGAATGTGGCCAGGTTTCACTGGTCCTAGATCCTCCTTTCTATAACCCAGTGATGACAAGGATACCATATCTGGGGAGGGCCCCTCCCTAAGCCACAGCTTCTGTGGTGCCACAGCTGAGACCAGTTTGTCTGAGCCCAGGTCTGGGCTAAGGGCTGGATGATGAGAACTAAGGACAAATACAGAAGACCCCCACCATCGTTTTCCATTCTGGGTGGCTGAGGTGACAAGCTTGACACCCAGATTGCATACAACAGTAGGACAATTAAGAATCAGATAATCAAAGAACTCCTCTCTTTCCCTCAGCATATGGGTAGCAGGCTTCATCCTACCCTGGGCATGGGATGAAGGGTCAGGCTTCCTCCCCAAGACATCCCCTCAGGGACCAAGCCACTTAGAGTGCTCTGGCACAGATCACATCCACAGGGGCCTGGAGTGCTGTTCCTGGGATGTTCAGGAGCTGGTGACTGGGGACACTGTGGGTCTGGTCTGTTCTGCCCTCCAGGACTCTAAGAGCAAATTGCCTCATCCCCTGCACCATGGGTGCCCAGGCATGGTGCCCACGCTGCTTCCTGCTAGGGGACATCAGATAGGCACATGGGATAACCAGTGGGCTGAGATCCTAAAGTCACTTCCCAGAGTGAGGGACAGATGCGTGCAGCCACATGCCCCCAACCCCTCCACCCTGGGGGGGCCACGTACCCTTGGCCTTATAGTACTCGTGCTGCAGTTCGTCCTCATCATTCTCTGAGGCATAGTTCAGCAGCTCCTCCTCATATAGGCCAAGAAAGTCGATGTCTTTCTTCCTCTTCTTCTTCTTCTGGGGCATCATTTTGCCGGCTGTCCCCTCCCTGCACCCGTGGGCTTACACACGCACCTCCTTGCCTGTGATTCACACCTCCTGAGCTGCAAGGCCCACGGCCAGAGTGACTCGTCTTCTGTGTGTCCCCAGTCCCAAAGCCCTGTTCTTCTTTCTCCTCTCTGGCCCCTGAGGTGACCTCAGTACTTTCTCCTTGCCCTCCCTATCCCTGTGCCCTCCATCTGCCACCCTCTCCCACTCTGCACTTGCCCTGGGGTTCTCCTTGGGCCTCGTGACTTATTTATGAGGATGAGACACACCGTCCTCCTTCTTCTCCACATCTCCCCCTTCCACTCCCTCCCCTTCCTTCACCGAGACTCAGGTGACACTGGGACCTCAGCCATCTGTTTCCCACCTGGCCTCACAGCAAAGGAGCCACCAGAGATCTTTCCAGGCCACTCCAGGGACAGGTGGGACCCCTCATCCAGAAGATGCCCTAAACCTCTCAGCCACAAGGACCTAAACAGCACCCCAGGGCCTGGGTTCCTCCTGAGAAGGGCAGAGACCCAGAATGGGCCAAGCTCCCCAGGCTCAGAGGGTTTCATTTCAATCCATTATTCATGACTTCTGATCATCTTACGCAGCAGGCAGGTTCTTACTGGATCCTTCTCGTTCTCTCTGCTTCCAACTCCTCAAGACTGATGGCTTCTGGAAGTAGCCAGGGAGACCTGCTCTACTTCACAATCATTCACATGGACCACAAAGCAGTTAAGTTACCGAGTCATAAGTTAATGGCATTTCCAGTCCAGAGCCCAGGACCCTGGGGAAACTCATTATCTTTAGGGGACCCCCCCCCCAAGCAATACCCAGCCAGACCAAACAAGCATCTACCTGCCTTACCAAGAATTCCCCATTTACCCATATCGTTGTGTGCACTTTCAGATGAGACAGGGAACCCCTCAGCCCCACCCCAGCAACCAGCCCCACTCAGCCTCTCCTGGAGAATCCTGAGTTGGAGCAGAGAACTTGGGCCACAGGGTCCTCCCTGCCCTCGATCAGGAGGGAAAGTTCTCTTAGGCCCACTAGTCTCTTCTCCTTGCTTGTTCTATTAAGATTTTGTTAAGGCAGCTAAGATTTTATTACAATTCCTTATAACCCAAGCTGAAAGATTTCTATGTAAATTTTGAAACACTTGAGAAAATTTCAATTCACTTGAAACTCTCAATCCCAGCAGTGTGAGATTGTCAGTCAGAACTGTGCCCTCGTGTGCCACTTCCTGGCTGGGTGGCTTGAGACAAGGCTTCTGTTTTCCCTTCCATGAAAGAGAAAGCACTTGAATAGTCAGAAGCTTCTAGAACACTTTAGAGGTTAACGAATGGCCCTGATCACTTGTCTTGGACTTCCAGCCTCCAGAACTGGAAGAAATAAATTTCTGTTGTTTATAAGCCTTCCAGGAGCCAGGTGTGCTGGCACACATCTGTGATTCCAACATTCAGGAGGCTGAAGCAGAATTGCCAGGAGTTTGAGGCCAGCCTGGGCTACAAAGTAAGTTCAAGGTCAGCTCGAACAACATAGCAAGACCCTATCTAAATAAATAAATAAATAAATAAATAAATAAATAAATAAATAAATAAGCCATCCATCTATGGTGCTCTGTTAGAGCATCCTGAACAGACTAAGACTGCTCCTAATCTAGAGTATTCTATATCTTACTGTGCTTGGGGGAATTTGATGCTTTATCATCTCAGATTGTTCTGGAAGTCCTCTTTCAGGCCTCCTTCTCTCCATGGGACCCACAGCAGCCCATCAGAGGCCTCAAGTTAGCAGGTGGAATCCTGCTTCCTCCTGGTTTTCTGGGAGCCCTGTCTGATAAGGTTTGGTTTACTTGTCAGCTCCTCCCGGCCACCCCCAGCCAAATTCTGTGAAGGCAGGGGTCATGTTCCCTATTCTTTGTAGCTTCCCAGTGTCTGCACTTTGCCTGCACACAGTGGGCTTCAGCAAGTATTTAGTCAGTGAGTCAGTGAATACGTGCACAAATCACAGGCAGGTCTGTAAGGAAAGCAAGGCCCAGAACTCTGAAGGAAAACAGTACTGGCTAAACAGAACCACACTTGAAGGTAAAGTGAATGTTAATAAATTGAATACTCCAGAAGGGTATCATTCTGAGCTGGCCTGCAGAAGTGAATGCTTTGAGGATCTGTGAGAGATGTCCTCACAGGTATGAACCCTTCTCTTGTAGAGGAAGCACTTGACCAGTCTGTGGATAGAAAAGGCCACTTTATGACTATAGGTGGTGACAGCAGACAGGCAGGCTTTACCCAGGAAAAAAGCTGAGATATTGGGCCTGGACTGTCACAGGGACATCCAGGTAAAGTCTGGGTAGCATTGCTCATCAGCCAATGGCAGGGGCACTGCAGCAGTTCTTGTGGGTTTGGACCTGCCCCTTCTGTCCAAAAGCTCAGACATTCCCTGACTCTGGATGGCAGGGAGAGACAGACCATGGTGGGGCCATGACACCCAGCCAGTGGCCACTGCAGGCAAGACTAGGGAAGAATACTAGCCAGCTCCAGGCTCTGCTGTAAAACCCAAACCAGAGGGGCTCAGTTTTCAGCCCCCTAGGCCACTGGCGGCCTCTCTAAAGTTTAGGCTGGTGAACTGAGAGGAGGGCAGGAGACCCTCTGCCAGCCATGCTGGGGCCCCCAGCCTGAGGTGGTATTCAGGGAGGAGGAGGAAGCTGGTCTGCCACAGCAGAAGAAACCATGAGTTCCTCATTTGTCACCTCCCTGCCCCACCACCTTCCTGCCCAGAACTTGGTTCACTGACCATGGCCCCACCCCGGAGCCCCAGGGCCTAGGGCCTCTAGCTAGCACTTCCCTTCCCTGTTGTGGGTCTCCTCATTCCGGGCTATTCTCTGGATCAATGATCCCTGAATTGTGATTCCCAGATCACCTGGACTAGACTATTCCCAGTAGCTCATCAAAATGCAGACTTCTGGGCCCCTCTCTAGACCTACTGAATCAAAATTCCTGAAGGGGAAACTTAGGCATCTACATTTTCAACAACTCCTCCACCCTGCTCCCCCTGTGACTTTTATATGTATTACAATTTGGAAACCTAAGTATCAGATACCCTCCCAGGTGAACTCAATACTTTGACCAGCTCACTTGGACTGATGGAGTGGATCAGCAAACTTCTGTCCCAGAGTGCACAATCCTGGCTGTACACTGGAGTTGCCTGGAGTCTTTAAATGCTGATGCCTGGGTCCTGGCCCCAGAGATCTGATTTGCTTAGCCTGGGGTGCAGCTTTCAAAGCCCCCTATGATTCAAACGTGCAGCTATGTTGAGTATCGCTGCACCCCTCCTCAGGTAAGTGGGGTGTGCTAACAACCACCTCTAAGCCAAAGGAGTAACTGGAAGGGGTGCATTTCAGAGAGGAGGAGAGGGTTGCTCACAAATCTATGGAGGAGACACCTGAGCAGCAGTCAGCACTGAATTTGTCTCCCCAAGCCTGTGACAGTTTAGTTTCTCCTCTGCTCTTTAAAGCCATCCAGATCCCCCAAAGGCATCTCTCACCCAAACATCCCCACCAAGGAAAGATCAACCTCATCTCCTCTGCTCTGCGGAGCACCCTGGAGCAAGCTTTGAACAAGAGTGAAGTTTAATGATGGGTGACGCTCGCCCCCTGGTGGTAACATGTGGTTTGACCTCTGGAACCTTGAAGATTACTAGGAAAATGCATTTTGTGCGGAGATCTGTTTGGAGAAAAATAACAACATTTTCATTTTTAATGAGGTCCCATTTAGACAAAAATATTTATTAAATTTTTTTACAAAAATTGAAATTAAAATATTTGTTAGAGAATCCCATGACATTAGAACACATGAATAAGAAAGCAGTGTCTCAATCAATACTAAGCACTGACAGAATCAGTGGAGCAACTAGAACTCTTATATTCCTGACAGGTGGGTAAATGGCCTAGCCACCTGGCGAAAGAACAGCACTCCTTATTTAGCTAACAAACACCGCCTGCACAATGCAAAAATTCCAATCCTGGGCATGTACTTAGGAGAAATGAAAGTGTGTACCCACACAAATCTGGATGTGAATATTCACAAAAGCCTTATTTATAAAAGTCCCAAGCTGAAAACAACCCAGGCACCCATTAACTGGCCAATGGGTAAATAAATCAAGGTACACCTATATGAAAGAATACTTCTCAGCAATAAAAAGGAAGTAGAGGCACATGCTACTACATGGATGAATCTCAAAAGAATTATTCTAAGAGAAAGAGGCCAGGTAGGGAAATAAAAGTAGGCTTGCATTTGTAGAACATTCCTGCAAAGCTAAAACTGAAGGGTGGATGATTAGGGAGCACGAGGAGGCATGGCCTCAGAAGCAGGAAAAGGGCTCCACCCGTCTCTCTCACAGAGCCTGCCTCACGTGCTGTCTTTCCATGACCATGTGACAGTCTCACTGGACCCTGCGCATGCAGCAGGACTGACCATCGGCCAGACCCCCACCCTGGGCCCCTTGTTGTGAGGACCCTCACCTGGCTGGCTGTGGATGCTTTGCAGATCCACCTCTCATTCCAGACAGGACCAAGGTCTAGATGTGAGGAGAGGCAGGCAGAGGCCTCAATGACCCTGCCTCCTCCCATCTAGACTTAGCATGAGGCCCTGAACTGTGCAACATGGCTAGGACTCCTGGCTCTTGGACTCCTGGCAGCTTTGTGTACTGACAAAAGCACAAAGGACAGACAGGATGATTACTGAGTCTCAAACCTCTGACACTAGGGAAAGATCTATTTACCCAGTGAATTTATTTACCTAGGGAAAGGTCTATTTACCCATTTGCATGTGCACACACACAGACACAAATGTCCAAAATCATCTTATCATCTTGATGTCCATTTTCCTCCTCCTCTGGGAATTTTCTCCTGCTGCTGAATGGCTTTGATCCGATCACTCTTCAGCTCAGAAACCTTCACTTATACTCCAGAGCAACCATATTTTATCAGCCAGGATTCTGAGCTG